AAAACTTGCTTTGGTGTTGGAGGAGTCTGGAGTTTAGTACCTTCTTTCTCCATCTTTTTTTCTAGCTTTTCTTTTAGCAAAGGTAGACTAATCTCATAAAGGTAGTCTATAATCTCTAAAGGAGAAAAATTTAACTTTGAATTATTTTTTGATATAAAACCTCTTATCAAGGCGAAAGGACATGATATAGCGTGCTCCAAAGGATAAACATTGGGCTGTGAACCACGAGGTCAGAGATTCGGGCCCACAAGCCCCTGCGCAAGAGAAAGACAAGGCTTTCTGCTCCTGTCTCAAAAAACCCTATACAGGGTCACTATGGTCACAAGAAGTCAATGTATAAATCCATCATGTCAATTCTGTGTGTGTGTATGGTCAGAACCAACTTGAAGGCACTAACAACACCAACACCAACAACATTGTCAAAAAGATGGTTGTCAATTGTTGTTGCTGAGTGCTGGTGAGTCAATTCTGACCCACAATGACCCTGTATAGGGTTTCCAAGTAGCAGCTGGTGAGTTTGAACTGCTGACTTTGCAGTTCAAACTGACTTCAGTCCAGCACATTAACCCACAGAGCCACAACAGGACTCCACAACAAAACACTGCTATATAATTACTATGTATCAGGTTCTCTTCTAACTGGTTTACTTGTATGCAATCATTCAACCCTAATAAAAATCCTAAAAGATCAGCACTATTTTTAATCCCTTTTTCAAATGATGAAACTGAGGCACCAAGACATTAGGAAAATTGCACAAGATCATAGTTAGTAAGTGATAGATCCAGGATTCAAACGCAGGTATTGATGTTCTGCAAAATGCTGAGAATTAATTCTATCCCACATTCCAGGATACAATGTCATCCAAACTAATGCTTCCAAAGCCTGGTGCTGGGCAGAGCACGAGGTTCACCTGTAAGCTAGTTTAAGAACATCTAGATGTGGGACCCACCTCTGGAGTTTAGGTCTGGTGGCATACTGGAATACCCGTTGGGCTGCTAAACACAAAGCTAACAGTTCGAACCCATCAGTCACTCCACGAGAGAGAAACAAGAAAGCTGTCTGCTTCCATAAACATTTATAATCTTAAAAACCCAATCCACTTTGTCCTATAGAATTGTTAGGTATCAGAATTAACCCGATAGCAGTGGGTTGGGTTGGGCTTGGGGAGGATATGGGTGAACCTACAAGCTCCCCATAGACCTCTGAGGATCAAAATATGGGACGTATATATCTAAACTACCCACAAATGGCTATGTGCCTGGCACTCTTTCTGGAATGGGGACTGGGGTCAGGGAGAGGGCAGTCTCAGCAGAAGCACTGAGTGCTGAGCACTGTGGGAGTCCACATTATTCACATGTCATCGACTGTAATACTCTGGAAAATCCTATCAGGTTGTTTTTGTTGATAAGTACCATTGAGTCGATTCTGACCCACAACGACCCTGTATGGGGTTTCCAAGGAGCAGCTGGTAGGTTTGAATCGCCGACTTTGTGGTTCGCAGCCCAGTGCGTATCCTACAGCGCCACACTAGGACTCTTACCAGGTAGGGATTACAATTTTATAATTGTCACCATTTTACAATGGAGAAAATAGAGATTCCAAGGGTTCCGGTAACTTGCCAAAGGTTACATGAAGGTACGTGGCTCCATACCCTTGTGTTCTTAACAATTCAAATATTAATAATACTGACCTGGAAAAGTCTTTTTCTGCCAAAAGGGAACACAGGTAGCTTTTATCCTATAAAATTTACTTTGAACATAAGATGGAGGAACATCACTTGAAAAAGGAAAAAAAAAAGAAAAAGCCAATTTACAAATTCATCATTTCAATTCTGTGTGCGCGCACGCTAAGCCCATTCATTCTAAGTAACATGAGGTCTAGGGACAGAAGTAGCTTTCCTATCACAAACATGAAATAAGTATGGCTGTAACAATGAGATAAAATAAGATGCATATGAAAAGCTATTGTTTATTAATTAAACAAAAGAGAAAAGGAAAATCATTAATAACAATGTGAATGCTTTTCACTTACTTGTCAGGAAGACAAAATACAATACTAGGCTACTTGATTGCTACCATGGCCAAGGCCAGATAGCCAATAAAAGAGCCAGGAAGGCACTGTAAGATAAGCACTGGAATGCTAACTACAAGGTTGGTAGTTCAAACCTACCAATAGCTTTGCAAGAAAGGTGAGGCTATCTGTTCCCATAAAGATTTAGTCTCAGAAACCCTATATAGGGTTGCTGGTATGGTCCTGTAGGATAATCACTGGCCTGCTAACCACAAAGTTGGTGATAGCAAACCCATCAATCACTTCTCTGAAATCCCATACAGGGTCGGATGAGTCAGAACTCACATGACAGCATTTAACAATGGTAACATGAGTTAGAAGAGACTTGATGGCAGTCAGTGTGGTTTTTTGGGTTTTTGGTAGCACAACGGCTAAGCCCCTGACCGCTTGACCAAAAGGTTGTTGACTGCAACCCACACAGGAGCTGTGCAGAAGAAAAAGAATTGGCCATCTACTCCTTTTGGTTAGCAGTCCAGTGCTTATCCTACAGCGCCAAAGCAGTACTTAGTGACCTTAAATGTCTATTAGAAAGGAAGAAAAAGAGCTTAGCATTGGTCTCAAAGAGTAAACAGCAACAGCAAAAGAAACTCGAGGACAGATATAGTAAAAAGCCAGAGAAAAATCATATAGTAGGATTGATTCAGTCAAAAGATGGTTCTTTTCAAGAGAAGTATAAATAATCAACATTACCAATGAAAATGGGGACGTCATTTAAATCCTGTAGACATTTTGCATAAAATACAGATAATAGTTTCTTGTGAAGTGGGAGATGAATAGCTGGTGGTAGCTGGGATACCTTTCATGTTTCATTAAACATATTTATATTTAATATTTAAATATTACAGAATTAATGCAAGTTTAAAAAAAAAAATCAATCAAATCAAATCAAGTCCTTTCCTCCTTATGTATGATTATTCAAATCCATTATCTTACATACAATGAAGAAGTCTCACTAGTAACCATGTCATTTAATTAGTTAGGGACAGGGGATCATAGCAAGTTTTCAGAAAGTCCAGGCCCCTCACCAGAACAATAATGTTAGAATCTCTGCGTGTAGCATCAGCACACTGATATTTTTAAAAGCTCTCCAGATGGTTTCAGTGTGTAAGCTAGGTTCAGAACCATTGAGTTAGGGCATCACATTAGCTAGTAAAACTCCAATGTGGGTCCACAGAGATAACTAGAACGTCTGCAGTTTTTGTAGAAGGTGCTATGTTGTCAATGCATCACCTGAACTACCTGGGATGAATGGTGGTCTGGCAGTTGGAAAACTCGACTCATTGGCTACCATCATCTGCTGGTTCACTACAGCCAACCATTCTTTTGGTCCCATGGATTTGCCTGGCTGGTATGTCTCAAGATTTTTGCATTTATTACCCTCTGCCCAGAATATTTTTATCTTTACATGGCTATCTTGCTACCACTTTGAGTGGCCATCCCTAACTACCCTATCTGATTGCCCCAATTCCTTCCACTGTATTTTTACTTACTACCATCTGAAATGATTTGTTCACAATCTCTTCTTCTTATAACAAAATGAGACTAAGTTCCTTATTCACTACCATCACTTTGTACCTGGTATACAGAAGACTGCTGTTGCTGTTAAGTGCCATTGACCTTGCGGTTCAAGCGGACCTTGCGGTCCAGGGCATTATCCCACAATGCCACACCAGGATTCCATAAAGAAAGTAGCCAATAATTATTTATAGAGTGAATGAGTGACATAGTTGTAAGCTTGGGCATCACTACTGTTGGTGTGTTTGTTGTGGATTTTAGGTTAATCCTACAGTAACTGTATCTATGGAATGGAAATTCAGGGAATTTATCTTTTGTCTACTGCATATCTGTATTGTTGTTGTTAGCTGCTGGGGAGTTGGCCCCTGACTCATGGAGACACCATGCACAACAAATGGACATGCTGTCCCGTCCTGCGCCCTCCCAACCACTAGTTGAGGATCTGACTGTTGGGATCCAGGGGATTTTCACCGGCTAAGTTTTGGAAGTAGACTGCCAGATCCTCTTTCCTACTCCATCTTCGTCAGGAAGCTCCAGTGAAACCTGACCTGTTCAGTATCATAGCAACATGTAAGCTTTCTACTGACAAACAGGTGGTGGTTGTGCAGAAGGCATGTTGGCCAGGACGGCAAGAATTCTACCATGGAACCACCAGAGCCCACGAGAGTACTTGGCATATTGGTGCTCATGTCTGCTGTAAGGAGAATTCTGGGCCTTTAATTTTCCAACAATTAGATGTGAGGAAGTGTATATAGGCTAGAATTCATTCCCTTACAACTAAGGCAGGGTGTTTGTTATCTCCTCTCACCCCCCCAGCCAATGCCAGTTTGATTATATGGCAATGCTTTTTTTTATCACAGTTTTCAACTGGAGAATTCAAATAGATGGGATAGGTATATGGGCCATATGCATTTTGCTCAACCTAAGATTTATGTTCACAGAACACTTTAGGTGTGATGATCTGTAGGATACTCATAGAAAAACTGAAGAAAAATGAAGAAAACAGAGTAATTAATGACTTTATTGGTAGTGGGGGTTGTGTGCCACTGAATCAGTTCTGACTCAGCAATTATGTTCCTGAGGAGTGACTGGTGGATTTGAAACACCGACCTGTGGCTCACAGTTCAGTGCCTATCTTCTAGAGCCTCTGGTGCTTCCATGAAAACCTGGTCAACACAGCAGCTCAGAACATTTAGGAACAGTTCGCTCTTAAAACACTGTATTACACTGTATTTGTTTTCTAGCAACAAGTGATACAAAATTCTGTATGTAGTATGGATTTCAGCCACATGCTTCAAAATCTGTAGGCAGGCATTTACCAAGTCACCTCTTTCTGTTTTCAAAAACATAGCTTATTTTCATTGTTGTTGTATTAAGTCATCTCTTATATTTAGCTTAATATTAAACGAATGGTCTTACCCTATGGCACTGGCAAGATCTTCCCAATCTATTTCATTAGCATCTTCCACGTTTATTTCATACAACCTATGAAAGAAGTAAAAATGTAGTTTTCAGGAAAAAAATCAACATGATGAACATTTTCATGAAGTCATAGAACATCAAGTGCTGGAAGAGACCAGAATTTTTATCCCCTATTACAGCTCTCTCATTACACAGGCCCAGTGAAAAGCCAGCTCTCTTTCTCTGGAGTCCCCTGACTCACACCAAACGATTTTACTTTTTCCTATGCATAGATACAACTTCATCACTGAATGTAGACACAATACTAGCACATCTGTATTTAGCACTTACTATGTGCCAACACTATTAAGTCCTTTATTGTAACTACTGACTCACAGCAATCCTGAAAACCACCTTATGAGGTTGGGGGAGGGGGTTAAACTCATTCTACAAACAAGGAAACCAGAGGAGAGACACTGAACTCATGGTTACATGAACACAGGTGTCAACAACCGGGACCCAGGTCTGGTGGACTTGAGAAGCTCTCCTGGGATCTGCTGCTCTGTGCTACTGCTCTACTCACTGCTGTCGAGTGGATTCCAACTCACAGTGACCCTATGTAGGGTTTTCCAGGCTGTAAATCTTTACGAGAACAGACAGCCTCACCTTTCTCCCACAGAGCAAGTGGCTGGTGGGTTTAAACTGCTGATCTAATAGCAGCCTAGCCCACGGTGCCACCAGGGTACCTTGTGCTGTTTCCCTAAACCAAATCTAAAACCAAACACACTACTATCAAGTCCTTTCTGACTCATACTGACACTAAAGAATTGTAGACACTGACTGTAAATCTTTATGGGAGCAGAGAACCTCATCTTTCTCCCCAAGGAAGGGGAGGGTAGGAAGGCAGAGGATAGCGGTATAACCAGCCAGATCAGTGTGAAGAATCAGGAAACACACCAATGAATTTAAAGAGACCTCATGACAAAGTGCAGGGAGAATTAAACTGGAGCAGGTCATCAGAATCCAAAAGTTTCTTCTGATATATTGCTATTCATTTAACATAAGCTCTTCATCGGCCTGGGCCTCCTGATCTAGCAGCCTTCAGAAAACAGGCCCATGTCTCCCCTTCCCTTGGAGCACTTCAGACTCTGCACGGACCAGGAATGCAAAGATGAGACAAGCAACAGTTGCACCCACAAATGCATACATGAGAGCAGCAAGGCTCTAACTGACCCAATTTTCCAATGGGATGGAAATAAGACATCCAAAGAAGTTTTAAGGACTACAAAAATCACATTGATTATTTCATATGAAACATTTAATTTCATCAACAACAGAGATAGGCACTACCACTCTCAGCATAGTTTAACATGAGTATACAGAAGCTTGAAAGGTAGCAAATTCAAGAGCATACAAGTACAATGAGCTGGAACAGGGATCTGGACTGCACTTTGGCGTTAGAGAGCAGTAGTTAAAATGCCATCAAATACTACTTGTGTACCTTTCAATGAGATTGATTTTTGCCTGCAAGGCGTTGACTCCCCTGTACACATCATGTCCTTTAGTCATCCTTTTGGTTAAGACTTCCATCCTAAGTTAGACAAGAGAATAAGATCACTGACTTTCAGAGGTCAAGTTGCTAGTAAAATCTATCATTTCCCATCTAAACTGCTCTCATTTAGAACCAATTTCCAACTTTTGCAACTCATCACTGCTAGTATTTATGACAATCGAGAATACACGTTGAAAAAAAAAAGAAAATTGATTGTTATGAAGTTGGATGACAAGAAGGACTATGTGTGTGTGTGTGTGCTAGAAAATTTCCACAATAAAAAGTTAAATGGTGGTGTTGGTGGAAGTGCTGGTTATGTGCTGTGAAGTCAGTTCTGACTAACAGCAACCCTGTACAGGGTTTCCGAGGCTGTAAATTGTTACTGGAGCAGAAAACCTCATCTTACTGTCTTAGAGTGACTGGTGGGTTCAAACTGCTGACCCTGGGGTTTGCAGCCTGACTCTTAACCCACTATGCTACCAGGGCTCCTTAACAGGTTAAAGGTGGGAAAATATTAAGTCCATTATGAAGTGCTGAAAGACACTATGTAAACCCACTGTATTTTTGCAACAGATGGACATTGCTCTAATTACCATTACCAACTGTTGGAATGCTAAATTAAGCAAATTAAGTAAAGTGATAAATGATCGGGAGATTCCTCTAGCGCCCAAAACTAATGACTGAAGGAACTGGTTGACTGATATAGCTAAATGAGAGCAGCAATTCAACCTAAAGCAGTAAAAAATTATGTTCCTTGAACAGCAAAATTAGTCTCAATTTGGTTGACTGATCACTTAATTGCTACAATTACATTCTTAATAATGAAGATATATGACACACACACACCATACACAGTAACAGAAGCTGTTGTTCCCACTAATATCTATCATGTATACAGTTTTGAAAGGTTATCATTTAGTGTCATTCCAATGTTACATGACGCCAATGTATGTTGAGGCTTCAAATTTCTCATTTTTCCCCCTATTGCAGGATAATGTGCTGGATCACAAAGTCAGTTTAAACCACAAGGTCGTTGGTTCAAACCCACCTGCTGCTCTTCAGAAACCCTAATCGGGGTCACTATGGGTTGGAATTGACTTGACAGCATTTAAAAAGAACAACAAACTAAAAAAGAAATCTTATAGGTTATCTTATGGTGCAAATTCTGAAGCAGCTGTACCCTTCATCATTCCTTTTAAAAGAAGGGAAATACGTGCATCCTTTTTTAAAAAAGAATATCCTTAAAAAACTACAACAAAAAACTTTTCAAATTTTTATTACAGTGTTGATAAAAGCTTTTATTTTATTATCTTCTTAATGCCATTCTGACTTAACGTCTTAGGATTTTAAAGGGAGTTAATGATCAAAGGTTTTGCTACTCCCATTATATATTTTTTAAAATGTGATATTCTATTTTCTATTTTTATTTGACTGTGGCTGAATATATAACACTTGTCATCTTGATCGTTATATGTGCACAATTCAGTGATGTTAATTATGCTCATCATGTAATGATCTGTTTCTAATTTTTTTCATTATCTTTAACCCTGTCAGTTACTTCCCTCTTTGCATTCTTTTGTTGATACAAAATGGAGGGCCTGCTGAGTCAGGAGCATTTCTGAAATTTTATTACACAGATTTTGATACACCGATTACATGGGACATATATCCCTCTGGAGTCTGGGGTAGGTTCCTTCCTGAAGGCTGCATGGACTGTCAGTGGGAAAGTTGCAGCCCAATAAACCCCAAAATGAGAAGAATGTAGGCAGGCCCTAAATGTCATCAAAGTATTTATAGTACATCAACATCCCTTGAATAGTACCTCCCCATTTCTCTCTTCCCCTAAGCAAAAAAAACCAAACCCTAGTTGTTGAGTCAATTCCTATCCACAGCGATTCATAACAGAGCAGCAATGACTCAAAGGGTTTTCTAGGCTGTAATCTTTACAGAAGCGGATGGCAAGGTTTTTCATTCACAGTACTACTGGTGGGTTCAGACAACCAACCATCAGGTTAGTTGTTGTTGTTGTTGTGAAGTGCCATCGAGTCGGTTCCGACCCATAGTTAGTAGTTGAGCACAAACTATTTGCACCACTCAGGGACTTTCCATCTGTCCCTGGTGACATCTAATAAACTTGGGTCTCTGTGAATTTTCCGATTCTAGGTGGTTCATGCAAGTGGGACTGTATAGTATTTGTCTTTTTGTGAAGCGTTTGTTTCACTCAGCATAATGTTTGCAGGGTTCATTCATAGGGTACCATGTATTAGAACTTCATTTCTCCTCTGTATGACTAACTACAGTTCCATTGTATGGCCATACCACAGTTTGCTTATCCACTCTACCCTTTGGCTACTATGAACAATGCTGCAAAGAACATTGGAGTACACATGATCTGTTTAAATCATTGCTTTCAATTCTTTTGGGTATAGCAATGGAATTGCTGAGTCACATGGTAATTCTATGTTTAACTTTTTGAGGAATTGCCAAACTGTTTCCCATTGCAACTGCACAATTTTGCTATGCTACCAACAATGGATGAGGGTTCCAATTTTTCCACATTCTTGTCAATAACTTGGTATTTGGTGTGGCGCTGTGGGTTAATGCGCCAGACTGCAAAGCAGTTTGAACGGCAAGGTCGGTGGTTCAAGCTCACCAGCAACTCCCTATACAGGGTCGCTATGGGTCGGAATTGACTCGACAGCACTTAACAACAACAACAACAAGTGGGGTGAGACCAGTTGATAGTAATTGGCAGTGGGGTTGCAGTAGTGCCTCTTTGTGACTTTGATCTGTATTTCTCTAATGACTAAAACCACTGAACTTTTAGTGTAAATGTATATTCCAGACCTTTGCCCATTTTTGATCAGCTTTGTTGTTGTTGCTGATGAGTTGTAGGAGTTCTTTATTCTGAATATTAAAACTTTAACAAATACAAGGTGTCTACATTTCTCCCATTTTTTAAGTAGTCTCCTTATTGACAAAGTCCTTTGATGCACAAAAGCCCCAATCTTTTTAAAACATGGACATATCAGTCTCCAACTGAGTTTATAATTCCTAATCTCCTCTTTAGGGGGCACTCTCTGCCCTGATACTACAAAGGCAGAAAGGGCTCTAGTTCCTTCATACAGTACTTAAAGACGACAACAACAACAACAACAACACAACATTATTTGTTCTTTGGATTTCATTTTCCTGAGTGGAGTCTCTTATTAAAATGAACAATTGTCCTACACAAGGATTGTGATGCACATGACCAAGGCATTCTAAAAGTTTGCTCTTAAAAAGAAACCATGTCTACTTTGGATGTCATTCATATTTGAGAATCAGGGATCACCGAGCTCCTTTTATGCATGAGGGGTAGGTTGTGTGTGTGTAAAGTATATGCTTCAGGGATTCATGCTGCAGCTGAACAGCCAGCCCAACCACTGCTCAGGTCTTGGAAAATCTACACCAGGCAAGAACATGCAGCAAGATGGATGGAAAATACCTCCATGTGATTGGTTTAGCTAAAGGAGTTCTAAAATGCCTTCCTCCAGATGAAGATAGAGGAATTGATGGATTACAATCAAAAGCAGCAAGGCACTGATTACCATGCTTGTGTTTTTTCTCCCAAGCATTCGTTTTAATGAATCACAAGAGCTAGTTAAGTGCTAATGAAAATTAGATGCTGAAACGGTTAGAGCAGTGGGGCACAGAGAATTCTTGACATGTGAGATATTCTTAGTAATCTTACGTAGAAATTGTCAAGAGAGAGTATCATCTTGTTGAAATTTATGTTAAGAAAATCTTAAAACTTACCACTTACTTTTACACTGCATCCAATTTCTGGTTTCCACTTTAGCTTCTACTTCTATCCAAGATATTCCCCTGTAGAGTTTTTTCCGAACAACTGATAGGCGGCCTTCAGGATTTTCCTGAAGGCTAGGATCCATCTCATTTAACTCCTGGAGAGACATCTTCTTTAGAAGCACTTGTTCAACGGCCTTGACTAGTTTCCGGGTTTCAGTCTTACTCCAAGTACCGTGATTGACTTCTACAGGTGAAAAAGGACAGTTCCAGAGTTGTTCATCGATTTGCTGTTAATCACAATATTAAAAACTAAACGACAAACTAGGTACTTCTAAGTAGATAATGGTGGATATCTCAATGACTCAAACACAATGGCATGCACTTTAAAATGAAATTACTGAAGTGATAATGGATTCTTTTAAAGGTCAAAAGCCTGACATTATTAAGTAATAATCCTTTCATAAAAGAATGCTTGGTTTGATTTGAACTTCACAAAGTGCAGTTCTTTGGGTTTTTGACAGCAATATCTTCTCTGTGAAATCATGAAACACTTAACTGGGGAAAAAAAGAATAATCAAATGACTTATGATGTATACACGAGCCCTCCCTAAGAAGAGTTCCTAGCATAAAATTAATGGCCACCAATGACAAGAACAGGAGAAAATTGAGGCTTTCTGTTCTTGTAAAGATTTACAGCCTTGGAAACCCTATAAAGGGTGGCTATGGGTCAGAACCAACTCAATGGCATGTTGCAGCAGCAATGAAGCAACACAGCACCTGATGAGAAATTCACCTAGAGAACTTCTGAAGCCAATTGCCTGTGTAGGGTGCCGCTCACAGTCATGCTAATGAAGAGGTCTCAAACAGGTAGTGTGCACCCTACCAGTAATATATAAAAATAGATTTGGTTTGAGAAGAAATAAACAGTAATATCCACTAAGGACTGTCATCTTAAAGCAGTGGGATTTTTTTTTTAATTGTAAAAAAGGTAACCAAGAGAACCTTTTTATGAAGAAGTAAAAAAGGCAGGTAGGAAATCTCTGGTTTAGGGAAAAGTCCCTGTCTAAATAGGCCAACTATGAGATGGATTGGCCAAGTTGCAGCATTGATGGACTCAAGCGCGGCAATAGTAGTGAGATTGGCCCAGGATCTACTGTGCATAAGGTCACTATGAGTTGGGACCGACTCGATGGCACCTAACAACAACAAATAGGCCACCTGAGTTGTATCCTTCCCTCTTTCCCATCTCAAAGTCTTCCTTGCAATTTTAGGGAAGTGACCTCCTCCTCCCAGTCTATCCTGATGACCAGCTTCCTTGGGTAGGGTTCCACTGGGCAGTTAAATTTGTGGTGAAAGTTACTAAACTTCTACCTAAGAGCATGATTAAAAGCAGTCTTGTGAATGAAGTCCACATGGCTTCATGTAGTAAACATGAGGAAATGAAATGATTCAGTATAGAGAATGTCTTTTAAAATGCTAACTCTGCTAGAAGACGAGCCTGAAATAAATTTCTGGACACTGGATTAACTTGTGGGCTGAATCGGATCTGTCGGGGCTGATTTGTTTCCCCGTGTGGATGCTGCAGATGGTCACTTACGACTGCTGATCTGGGAGTACTTCAGGGCAACAGAGAGGCTACTCCGGGCCACCATCTCACCAATTTTCTTCCAATCATTTCCATGGAGGGAATGGTATAGCTTTAACTTCTCAGTATCTCCTTTACTATACCTAAGCAAAAAGGACATCATGTTACAATTCTGAATTAACTACAAGCTGACACACTATATTCTCATTGCAGTACAGTGAGGGCAGTCAGCACACCTGGTTCTAACGCCAGTCCTTCTGATGACTAAGAATGTTCATCACTTCATGTCTCTTCATCTCAACTGTGCTCATCACAATCCCAGCCCAGAGACCTGGCTCAGTCACATGCAGCCAGAAGAAACAGCATCACATGACTTCCCAAAGCCAACCCCAAAGGCTTAGCATTACACGTGCAATAAAACAGTTTTTAAAGGGTCTCACAGCCTGTGCTCTTTACAGTTCAGACACACAGCCTTATTTAATTCTTCTCAACTCTGAGCCCCTGTATCAACGGCTTACAACTTTGATTTTTCTTCTGATAACAAATGACACAGCACAAATAGGATGTGCATTTTAACATTGCTAGAAGGAGCTCTGGTAGCGTAGTGGTTAAGAATTGGGCTGTGAACCTTAAGGTCAGCGGTTTGAAACTACCAGCCACTCCGCAGGAGAAAGATGAGGCTTTCTACTCCCGTAAAGATTTACACCCTCGGAAACCCTGTACAGGGTCGCTATGGGTCAAAATTGACTCAACGGCACTTAACAACAACAACAGACAGGCTTTTATTATTTTAATGAAAATTTCATTCCACTACAATTTAAAAAAATTGCTGAAAAAAATATTTCATTCCACATCCATGTCATAGGTAGAGAAATACATTACCTAGGCTGCCACTATCAGTTTACCAAAATCACTCTTTTTTTAACTAAAAGGACTCTTTCAAGTTGAATTTCAAATGTCATTTCTAGTGAATTTTCTTAAAGCTCTGTCCACAATTGTCTAAACTTGGGGCTTGGGTAAAACACAGTAAGTTTCAGTCTCTCTGTGAGAACTCTTCTCTACAGAAGGCTCTCTTGTTATAAAACATTTTAAAACAGACAAGAAACCAAGGTCATATCAATGCTTGAAGTTAAATAATATGAATGCTTTGGCTTCAAGTCATATAAATGAGTAGAACACAGCTGACCTTGGGGCAGACTGTTGTAATTCACAGGGAGAGAGGGAGAGTAGTGGAGTCAAGAGTTGATGCCTTCGTGCTTACCCTTTTGTCCCTGAGCACAGTGTTTACCCATAGCAGACAAGCTACTTTTTCTTTTAGAACACTGGGTATTTTATTGGGAAGCGATGGGAGGAAGGAAATATAATAACCACATCAAACATTGTCTTGACACTATTGAATCACATGTAAATGATTTAGTACTATTGTTTACCTTACTGGCTCCTTCAAATACCTATAGAATTATGTTAAGTGCTAAGAGGAACATCAAATTGAGAAGGAATGTTTGTGTTCACAAGGAGCTTACAAGCAGGTGGTACTCACAGTGAGTACTAGTAAGAAGGCAGTGCTAAAATAAAGGACAAAGGAAAAACTGACGATTTACAAAAGAGCTTTGTTGTTGTTACGTGCTGTCCAGTCCGTTCGACCCATAGCGACCTTGTATAGGGTTTCCAAGGAGCAGTTTGTTGTTGTTAAGTGCCATGGAGTCGGTTCTGACTCATAGTGACCCTGTATAGGGTTTCCGAGGCTATAAATCTTTATGGGAGCAGAAAGCCTCATCTTTCTCCCACTGAACTGGTAGTTTTGAACTGCTGACCCTGAGGTTAACAACCTGATTTGTAACCACTACGCTACCAGAGTTCCTTAAAAGAGCTTAAAGACCTTAACATTGAAATGGCCTTTGAAGACATACACGTGATGTCATATGGTTTTACACACCAAAGAATCGTCATCATTTTTACTGCAGATTTATCATTATGAACTGCTAACCACAAGGTCGGTGGTTCAAACCCACCAGTCACTCTTTGGAAACCCTACACAGGGTCTATATGAGTTAGAACTGACTGGATGGCACTTAACAATGGTTCCATAAGATAAGCACTGGACTGCAAAACACAAGGTCAGCAGTTCAAGCTCATCAGCTGCTCTGAAGGAGATTGAAAACGCTGCTGAAGCCCTATACAGGGTCGCTATGAGTCTGAACCACCTTGATGGCACTCAACAACATTGTGATTGTTAGTATCACCAGAGTCTAACGAAAATGGTCTTTCTCAAGCTGCTAAGACCTTTTCCTTACCTGCCTTTGTAATTATGGATATCAAACATCTTCTTTGCTCTATAATATACTAGTTTCCAAGGTCGAGCGATGCCCTTGCCTAAGTGAAAAAAAAAAGGTAGTCAGATGGCACACATTTTAAAGGAGGAGCACTTCAGAGCATGGTATGAATAGTCAGATTTATAAAAGTAATTCTAACAAATCCTTGCTGCAAGAACTATTCCCACCCCCTCCACACAAAGGGTAGACAGGTATGGGCAACTTGGACATTGGCTACCCAAAATGGGGGGAGGGATACAAAGGTAAGAAGTGACTAGCTTACAAGCATTCAAGAGGGAACCTAGATCCAAAGGGCGTGGAGGAAGGTAGAGTCTCCAGTGAATAGTATCCAGCCTGTCCAGGAAGGGCTGATGAAACGAAATACAGATGGGTTTCTTGTGATGCAATAGTGAATAATTGTTATCAGGACTGATTGTGAGGGTTGGAAATCTAAAGATGGACATTTTGTAGCAAGGAGGGGAGCGATTAACTTTTCAGTCTAGGAGCGGAGGACCCTAGGACCATCAAGGGAGAAAAGCGGAGAGCGGGATCCTACCCAGAGAAGCAGTGAGGCCTGAGATGGAGGCAGAGAAGATGATGATGAGATGGTGTTGCTGGGGATTTGGGATCCGGAGAGGGAAAGGGGCTGAGGACTGTGGTGGGGTAGTGCAGGATTACAGGGTACACCCTTTGGTTGGGTGAGGATGCATGCATGGGATGGTAACTATGACAATGAAACGACAGATGATAAAATGAATGTAAAACTAATGTTCTCCCATGTAGACTATCACACAATTCACAATAAAACATTTATTTAAAAAAAAAAAAAAGATATTGAGAGCCATAAAAAAAAAAGTAATCCAAAATACACTAAGGTTGGGATTACATATGTTTTGTATAAAGTTTTCTTGGGGAACAAATATGTAAAATACAATTTCTCTTGGAGACCTCCTAACCTAAATGTTTTGTGCCTTGCTGTTGTTGTTATGTGCCATGGAGTCGGTTCCAACTCATAGCGACCCTGTACAGGGTTTCCAAGGCTGTAAATCATCACAGGAGCAGAAAGCCTCATCTTTCTCCCGCGGAACAGCTAGTATTTCGAACTGCTGACCTTGTGGTTCGCAGCCCGATTCGTAACCACTACACTACCAGAGCTCCATGCTTTGTGCCTGTCGTTGTTGTTGTTATGTGCAGTGGAGTCAGAATCGAATCATAGCGACTCTGTACAGGGTTTCCGAAGCTGTAAATCTTTACGGGAGCAGAACGCCTCATCTTTCTCCCGCGGAACAGCTGGTAGTTTCTAACTGCTGACCTTAAGGTTTGCAGTCCAATTCGTAACCACTACGCTACCAGAGCATCTTGTGCCTAGTAGCCCTAAATCTACAAAATTCATGGAAAACACCTTTATAAGGCAAAGTAAATTTAACATAATTTGAAATAAACAAATGCCTAAGAAATTATTTTAAAATTTTAAATTCAAGAGATTTTCTTTCAGTCTAATCCCATGGAACTTTCTAATCATCACTTGCAGGAGGGTTCCAGCTACAAGGCACTCATATGAGTACATTTTAAAAACACAGGAGACCAAGATGTACATAAGAATGTGTTTTGTACAGTACATATAAAATTTAAAAAACAAATTATAAGAAAAAAAAAATCAAAACCATATTATTAAGGAGGAAGAAGATAACTGTTTACATTTTCATAAAATCTACAAAAGCTCTACAGATTTGAAGACAAATTCCCAAAGGTATAGGCCAGCAATAAGAATTCCATTACCCTTAGCAGCAGTTAACATGCACTGAAGGGGCCAGGCATTGTGCCAGGGACTATCTTACTTTTCAGGGGTGATCTTGTTCAGGGTTCTAAGACCGCAGCTACAGTTGGTCAGAGAATGGCCATTTCTAAACTTACCAATGTGCAATCTAAATCCGTATTTCCGCTTTAAGTCAGTGATCACAGATTTCTCCTGTGGATATCTGTCAGTGTGTAGCAGCTTGTCTGCAGTTTCAATTCCTGTCAAGGACAGAAATTCTTGCACATTTTCCTCTAATTGTTTATTCTCCTTAATAGAAAACTTCCCAAATTTAATAGAAACACCTAGGATTTGAAGAGAGAAATTATATTAGCAATACTGAAAAACAGCAAGCCCACAAGTTGGTCTTTAGTCAGCAATTACGACACAATATACCATCCCTGCCTTCTTCTTCTCGGGAAACAAGTCTTGCTAACGAACCTGAGTCTTCATTCTCTTATACCCTGTGTATGGACCCAGCCCCTTTTAAGTTTCACTGGCGCCACATCGGTACCCCCCAAACTACCTCTGGTCATCCTATTCTAAAGTCATATAGTTATTTCTTCAGAAATGTTTTTAAACATTTATTTAAAAAATCTTATGGTGGCAAAATTTATTTAACATAAAATTGGTCGTTTTATGGGTAAAATTCAGTGGCATAATTACATTCATAATTGTGCAACCATCATCCCACATAGAAACTCAGCATTCCTTTTCCAATAACTCCATTTCCCTCTCCTAGCCACCCTAGTAAATACTCACCTACTTTTTGTCTCTATGAATCAACCTATTATAAATATTTCACGTAAGTGGGATCATACAGTATTTGTCCTTTCATTTCTGATTTACTTTGCTCAGCAGGTATCAGGACTTCATTTCTCCTATGGCCAAATAACATTCCATTGTTTGGCTATACCACAATTTGCTTATCTACTTACTACTGAAGAACAGTTAGGATGTGTCTATCTTTTGGCTATTGTGAATCATGTTGCAATTAACATAATCTCTTTGAATGACTGCTTTCAGCTCTTTTAGTTATATACCCAGGAAAGAAAATGCTGCCTCATATGGTAATTTTATGCTTAATTTTTTGAGGGACGGCCATACTGGTTTCCACAGTGGTTGCATCATTTTACATTCCTACCAGCAATTCATGTTGTTATTATTAAGTGCCGTGGAGTCAGTTCTGACCCATGGTGGTGGTGGTGGTGCTGATGTGCCATGGAGTAAGTTCCAACTCACAGCAACCCTGTACAGGGTTTCCGAGGCTGTCAATCTTCACGGAAGCAGAGAGCCTCATCTTTCTCCCACGGAACAGCTGGTAGTTTCAAACTGCTGACCTTGAAGCTAGCAGCCTGACTCATAACCACTACCCTACCAGAGCTCCTTCTCTGACCCATAGTGACTCTGTATAGTGTTTCTGAGGAATGACTGGTGAGCTTGAACTGCAGACATTGTGGTTCAAATTGACTTTGCAGTCCAGCACATTAACCTGCAGCACCAAGACTCCAATGTATGAGGCATCCAATTTTCCCATGTTGGCCAACACTTATTTTGCTTGTTTTCATTTTAAAATAAATAATAGCGTGTGGTGCTGTGGGTTAATTCATCAGACTACAAAGCCATTTGAACTGCAATGTTGGTGGTTCAAGCTCACCAACTCTTCCTCGGAAACCCTCCACAGGGTTGCTATGGATCGGGACCGACTTGACGGCACTTAACAAAAAAGTAATAAATGCACATAAAAAACTCAAACCTTGTTGAAAACAAGTTTAAAAGAAGGGTTTCTTGGATGGGGAGACTGGACAAATGGAAACAGCCTAGGGAGAAAACAGGGACCGAGCTGCTAATAGTGAGAGGATCGCAACATTGTAACTAAACTCTGTGTAAGAACTAGTGATTGGAAAACTAACTTGCTATGTAAAGTTTCACTTTAAACACAACAAAATGCACACACAAAAAAGAAGCTTCCTTTTACTTCCCTCAACCATATTCTTCCTCATTCCTCTTCCTTGCTTCCTGTGCCAGACGTTAAGCAAAGAAGAAAATTAGTACACTTAATTTTGCCAATGTTAGAGTTCTCATAAAAACTGTGGTAAGTGAACGGATAAATTTTCATTATTCACAAAAGAAAATCAAGTGTTCAGTTTCGTGAAAAGTTATTAAAGTTCTGTCAGCTTACCTTCTGCTTTAAATTCTTTAAACCGTTCCAAGTCATCCCGATACATCCGCTTAATAGTAGTGGCAGCCCTTTCCTTAATATTAGGAATAAATTCTTGGAGCTGTTTCACGGCAGAACCCAAATCTACATCAGAATCATCAGAATTTCTTGAGTCTTCAGATAAACATGTTTCAGAATGTCTAGATGGTTCTAAATTGCTTTCTTCTTCACTTGTGGATTCTAACCTAAGGGATAAAAACAAAATGGGATTGTCCTTGTTGTTGTTATGTGCCGCGGAGTCGGTTCCGACCCATAGCGACCCTGTACAGGGTTTCCGAGGCTGTAAATCTTTACGGGAGCAGAACGCCTCATCTTTCTCCCATGGAACAGCTGGTAGTTTCGAACCACTACACTACCAGAGCTCCTGGGGCTGTCCTAGAATCTTTTAACCTCTCTCCTTAAAAAGAGCGTTACTTAGACAACTAAAGAGTGTGTACAAGGGATCATAGAGCTGATTTAGTCCATGATTTGCAATCCCTTTCATGAAATTTTGGTTACCTGCATAAATCTCACTGACTTCCTCTATAGAGAGTAAATGTGAGGCTCCAAGCCCTATTTCAGGGCTATTATTTTTTTAAACCATAGCTATAATGTACCTAGTTTTAAAAAATCAAATAGCTCTAGAATGAAAATCTGTCATTCAGTCCCATCTCTCATCACCTTCCAGAGGCCACCACTTTGAACTTTTAATTTTGGTACATCCTTCCCCACTGGTTTTATACTTACAAATGTCTTAATAATTTGCTTGTTTACTATTTCTCAAGTTTTAAAAAAAGGTACTGATTTTCTAATAAGTGTCAGCCCTCTTTTGCCCCCACTGTCGCTCACACACTCTTAGATCCTTACAATGTGTTAAGCTTTAAAACAAACTGGTTAATAATAATTGGTTAAATCAACATTCAGGGTTTGCATTACTAACATGGTTATCACTATTATTCTTATTGGAGCCATGTGAGACAGTAGGGGTCCAGCTGTTTATGCCGTAGTTAATAATGACTACTTCCACTTTGCTTACGTTTCTATGTGTTCTACTCTGTCATACAGATTCATCATGACAGAATACAACAGCTGGGTTTCCTAAACTGCAATCTTTATGGGTGTGGTGCTGTGGGTTAATGCACTGGACCACAAGGTCGGTTTGAACTGCAGGGTTGGTGGTTCAAACTCACCAGCAGGTCCTCAGAAACCCTATATAGGGTCACTACAGGTTGGAACTGACTCAACAGGACTTAACAACAACATTTATGGGAACAGAGCACCAAGTCTTTTCTTCCACAGAGTGACTGGTGGGTTAGAACCTCCCTTTCGTTGAGTGGCAGAGTGCTTAACTGTTGTGCCATTACAAATTCACCCCTAAACTCTCTGCACCCCTAAATTCTCTGCCAGAGGCCTACATCTTCTCCGTATGTTCAAACACTGGCTAACCTGTCAGACTACAAACTAAAAATACTGTGTGCATTTGTCTAAGCAAAGAGTCACCAACTTTCAGAGGGCTTACAGTCCAATAAAAGAGAAGAACCACAACCCCAGAATATTCTTCACTCGTGATCAGTGGTCTAAAAACATCCCTGATAACACAGAGGATGACATGAGTGAGCCCTTAAAACAAACCAAGCCAAACCCAACCCAACCCACTGCTGTCAAGTTGATTCTGACTGATAGTGAACATATGTTGTTGTGCTGTCGAGTCGGTTCCGACCCATAGCCACCCTCTATGAGGTTCCCAAGGAGGAGCTGGTGAGCGTGAACTGCCAACATGGCAGTCTGATGCATTAACCCACAGCACCACACCAGGACTCCTAGTGACCATCTAGGATAGAGTAAAACTACTCAATCAGATCTCCAAGGTTGTCAATCTTTGTGGAAGCTGACTATCACACCTTTCTCCAGAGTGGGTTTCAACCGCTGGTCTTGTGGTTAGTAGTCATGACCTTTAACATAAAGTAACTATTAAAAATAGGAAGAAAACTTTACCTCAAGTCTTAGGAACTATGAGATAATGGAGTTTACAAAAATACCTCAGCCTTTATTTATCAGTATATTTAAATAATTATACAAATATTTAAATTTAGTAGAATTAGTAAAATCCCAATTCATTTTTTTTTTACTGTTCTAAAATATTCTCATCATTATATACCTAATCTTTTCTTTTATCTGTATGCATATGTTGTTGTTGTGAAGAGCCTTAGAGTCAGTTCCAACTCGTAGGAACTCTGTACAGGGTTTCCAAGAAATAGCTGGTAGGCTTGAACCACTGACCTTATGGTTAGCAGTCCAGTGATTATCTTACAGGGCCACACAAGGAGACCTATATGCATGTTATTGTTGTTGTTAAATGCTATCGAGTCAGTTCTGACTCAAAGCAACCCAGTACAGGGATTCCAAGGAGCAGTTGGTGGATTTGAACTCCCAACCTTGTGATTCACAGTCCAGTGATTTGGGGGCTTTTAAACTTTTAAAAGTTACTCATTGAATTTAAGATCTAATCTAGTTCCTAACTGCTTATCAATTTCATAAGTAAAGATAATTATGCTACATACCAAGTTTGGACAGTTCAATGTACACACAGTTCTGTACATTTCAGGGTCTATTGCTTTAATTCCTGTCATTTAATATGTATGTGCTGAATCAAGTGGCCAAGGACAGAATTCATACAAAAGCTGTATACCAATAGAAGGCATACAGTTCCGACTTTACCTCTGAACTTCTTCCACATATGTTTCTTCTGAATGGGACTTGGTTTTCTTCTTTTTTGTCCTGGGCTTCATACTTTCTTCAATCAACGTCCCCTCGCCTGTCAGTGAATCATCACCTTCCAGATCTCTATGTGTGTTCTCAGAGTTCTTATTAAGCACTGAAAAATCAGCACCAGATCCAACAGCAGTTTCCACAAAAGACCTTCGCTTCCTTTTCTTAGACTTTCTCTTTGTACCGTTGGAGTCCTTGATCCCTGTAAGTGCATTACTGCCTTCTACAGTACCGATCTCACCGATGATTTGTGATCCTTCAGAATATACGTTCTCAAGACCCTCTGGCATGGTCAGCGCCTCAAACCCTGGGCTATTTGAAATCTTCTTCTTCTTCTTTTTTTTCTTAGATTTTTTTTTATCAGCAGATACTAAGAGTTCTGGAATTTCTCTTTGTAGGTCCACAGAGAGCAGGGATTCCTGCTCCTGTGATTCCGACTGGTGTAAGGCAATGCTGGCATGTGGGCTTTCCTGGCTATCACAGGATGTTCCTGTCTGATGATGTTTTTTATGCTTTTTTCTTCTAACTTTATTATGCAGTTCTTCTGACTCATTTTTATATGACTTCAGAACTGTAGGAAGTTCATTTGCTTCAGGTTCTTTTCTTGACTTTTGTTTCTTGTTCAGACGACCATGAATGACATCATTATCCTTTCTAAAATTCTCTGGTGTGTTCTCAATATTTTCTTTATTTACATGGACATATGCAATACCCGTCTCTTTGTCTACCCCTAAAGCATGTTTTTTCTTCTTTTTCTTCTTTTTGAGTGTTGAAATGGCCGTTGCAATCTCTTGACAAGTTTCTGAACTGTTCACAGGAGAAGAAATGAGATGCTGTTTATTTTTTTTCTTCTTTTTCTTCTTAGTTATTTGAGACTGTTCATTTGCCAGGCAGGAACCTTTGAAACTTATACTGGAACACTCCTGATGTCTTTCCTTATCTACCGAGTGTTTTTTCTTTTTCTTCTTAATAGCTGGAGTGTGGATATCATATCTGGTTGATTTTCCATCCATTTTCTTCCTACAGGGAAAGTTGACAACAATGATTCATTTATTTTTGTGGTAAAATACAAGAGGGCTTAAAAAAGTCTGGAAAAATTTCCTTTAATTCCATTTTCCCACAAATGTTTTGAAGCTTATATATATATAACATATATATATACACACACACACATATATGTATAATAAAACACTTGACATCTCAACCATTTTATGTATATAATTCAGTGATACAAACACTTACCATGTTGTGTAACCATCACCATAATTTTTTCCAAATTTTTCATTATGCTTAACAGAAACTTGTTAAGTGCCATTGAGTCAGTTCCCACTCATACCGATCCTGTATAAGGTTTACAAGAAGCAGCTGGTGGTTTGAACCACTGGCCTTGCATTTAGCAGTCCAGTGTTTATCCTACAGTGTCACACCAGGACCCTAGCGCCCCTAAAACAATGCCCTCCACATCCCCCCCTTTCCATCTGCACCTGATAATCATCATAAACTTTGGTTTCTATGTATTTGCCTATTCTAGATATGTCATTTAAGTAGGATCATACAGTATTTGTCCTTTGGAGTCTGATTCTTCCACAAAGCATAACATTTCCAAGTTTCAAGCATGTATCAGGACTTCATTTCTGGCTGGGAAATATTTCATTGTATAGATATATCACATTTAGTTTATCCATTCATATGGTGATGGACATTGACTTATTTTTCCAAAGCATTTTAAACATTAGCCTGAGGGGGGCGAGAATCACAGAAAAATGAAAATACATAACTGGACTCATTCATGATTGTTAAATGCACTGTAACTCACTCTGGTCCACTGCTCTCATAATATAGAAAGAACACTGAAAAACGAACAACAGTGTCTGGTGCAATCAAGCCTGTGGCATCTCACCCTCCCAACTCTGCTCCAGTCAAATGGACCTTTTTTGGTTTCTCAAACATGCCATGAACTTTTCCTTGGCCCAGGGTCTTAGTCTGTACAGTTCCCTATGCCTGGGGCCCTCTCTGCCCCCTCATCTGGCTTGCTAGCATCCTTTAGAGCTTGGCTCAAACATTACTTCCTTTGAAAAGCTTTCCCTGACTCCTTGAACTCAGCCATTCCCCAACTTACATTCTTTCCTTGCAAGCATTGTCATTTTTGTAGCATTCAGATGAACTGAAATTTAAATATATGCTATACATCTAAGTAATATCTGTCTTTTCTGCTAAAAAGTAAACTCTTAAGAGAAAAGGCAATTCGATTCTCTTATTCCCCAATACCTGTACCACCTATAAGCCAAGTGGCAGGACACCATTAGAGTGCACACTATGTGGTGTGTGCATGTTTGTGTGTTGCATATCCATCAACTCAAACCAAAATACTGTTCTTTTGAGACACATGCTGGTGGGATAGGCTGGTGGCGGGTCTTGTTAATATCCACCAGAGAGTCAAAATGCTGTAATATGCTGGAATATATTTTTTAATTAGGCTTCACAATTAGCCATATATTCCATACCCTTCTACTCCTGACTCTTCATACTTCTCTGTTGCTCCAGGTGAACAGAGACTGATTGTAGTAATTTGGAGGGCTGCTTGCAAGCTTTTTTTTTCTTTTGAGTTTTTATTGGGGATTGAGTGAAAGTTTACAGGGCAGATTATCAGTTTTACATTCAACAAATCATACAATTTGTTTCTTAACAATGATTAAATGATTACAATCCCCTCCATGTACCATTGGTTAACAGTATTTCTCTCTATTCACTGTAGCTTTTTTTTTTTTT